GAATACATATTCTATTCATTCGAATCTATCCTAAAAAATGTTATCGGCATTAAATAACCCATTGAGGTTGATATGCCGTAAAAAAAATAAACCAAAAATCTAAACCAAAGAATACATATTCTATTCATTCGAATCTATCCTAAAAATGTTATCGGCATTAAATAACCCATTGAGGTTGATATGCCGTCAAAATAAACCAAACCAATCTAAACCAAAGAATACATATTCTATTCAAAATCCTAAAAATGTTATCGGCATTAAATAACCCATTGAGGTTGATATGCCGTAAAACAAAAAACCAAACCAAAAAATGTTATCCAATCTAAACCAAAGAATACATATTCTATTCATTCGAATCTATCCTAAAAATGTTATCGGCATTAAATAACCCATTGAGGTTGATATGCCGTAAAACAAAATAAACCAAACCAATCTAAACCAAAGAATACATATTCTATTCATTCGAATCTATCCTAAAAATGTTATCGGCATTAAATAACCCATTGAGGTTGATATGCCGTAAAACAAAATAAACCAAACCAATCTAAACCAAAGAATACATATTCTATTCATACGAATCTATCCTAAAAATGTTATCGGCATTAAATAACCCATTGAGGTTGATATGCCGTAAAACAAAATAAACCAAACCAATCTAAAAAAGAATACAAATTCATATATCCTAAAAATGTTATCGGCAAACCAATCTAAACCAAACCAATCTAAACCAAAGAATACATATTCTATTCATTCGAATCTATCCTAAAAATGTTATCGGCATTAAATAACCCATTGAGGTTGATATGCCGTAAAAAAATAAAAACCAATCTAAACCAAAGAATACATATTCTATTCAACCTATCCTAAAAATGTTATCGGCATTAAATAACCATTGAGGTTGATATGCCGTAAAACAAAATAAACCAAACCAATCTAAACCAAAAGAATACATATTCTATTCATTCGAATCTATCCTAAAAAAATGTTATCGGCATTAAATAACCCATTGAGGTTGATATGCCGTAAAACAAAATAAACCAAACCAATCTAAACCAAAGAATACATATTCTATTCATTCGAATCTATCCTAAAAATGTTATCGGCATTAAATAACCCATTGAGGTTGATATGCCGTAAAACAAAATAAACCAAACCAATCTAAACCAAAGAATACATATTCTATTCATACGAATCTATCCTAAAAATGTTATCGGCATTAAATAACCCATTGAGGTTGATATGCCGTAAAACAAAATAAACCAAACCAATCTAAACCAAAGAATACATATTCTATTCATACGAATCTATCCTAAAATGTTGTCGGCATTAAATAACCCATTGAGGTTGATATGCCGTAAAACAAAATAAACCAAACCAATCTAAACCAAAGAATACATATTCTATTCATTCGAATCTATCCTAAAAATGTTATCGGCATTAAATAACCCATTGAGGTTGATATGCCGTAAAACAAAATAAACCAAACCAATCTAAACCAAAGAATACATATTCTATTCATTCGAATCTATCCTAAAAATGTTATCGGCATTAAATAACCCATTGAGGTTGATATGCCAAACCAAACAAAATAAACCAAAATCAATCTAAATCACAGACTACATATTCTATTCATACGAATCTATCCTAAAAATGTTGTCGCCATTAAATAACCCATCGAGTAAACGGTAAAACAAATTAAACCAAATAAACGAAACCAAAATCTACTACAGCGCGTCTTTCGAAAGTGACTGCGTGTATTCGCTGACATTACAAAAGTGATAGCGAGTGTTCGTTCACATTACGAAACCTTAAACCGATAGAGAATTTTCGGGATTACATGAAAATAAGATTGCAGACAAACAGCCAGCCAATTCTAAAACACTTGTAGTCGTTATCAAGGATGTGTGGACCACTGAGATTTCAGCAGATAATTGTTGGAATCTCATAGATAACCTTGTCGTTTTCAATTGGTTATGAAGACGAAAGTCGGTGATGCAAAATCCAGCTGTAATTAATGGAAAAATAAACCGCGTTTAATAAAAATCCATTGAAGTGAGATCATAGAGATGAGAACATTTTAACGACAAGTTATGATTTTATTTTTATGTTACTGACTTTGGAACAGCTGGTTTATATTTCTTCGACCCTGGAACAACTATGAACGATCAAAGGTTTGTGGAAGAACATCTTAAGAAGATCATGACCCTACTTTTGACTGGCTTAGAACAGCACTGACAACAATCCCACGAACGGGGCTATCCTTGATATTCTTTTTTAGATTTAGCTAATTCACACCCAGGTGGTTTCTTGTGAAGCCCTCCTCTAGTTAGGATAGATCCTTTTTATGTACATAATTAATGTAAGTGTCGTTATCGGCCTGTTCTCGGATACATCTTTGGTTATGATCCAAATCGAGATTCACAACCTCCCCAGTTTGTTTTTGGTCCCTTTTTTCATCTCGACTGGGTCAGCTTCTTTCCCTATGGTTATATTTATTTTATTTTTTCCCCTCTCCCTTAGTGAGACATCCTCTTGATTTTGTCTAAAGGCAGAATTCAGCGACCTCTCTGAAATCTTTTGAGGTTCTGACGGGTCCAGGTAACATCAGATATCCTTTTATTTTGTGTATTTGTTTAGATATTTTAGTTTGTTTTTAAGTTCTTTCCCCCTTCCCCACCTCATTATGCATGATCCACAGATTTTTGTACATAGAATTTTATAATCGTTAATTTTTATGTCATGGGGATGTTTTATTGTAGGTCCCCTGAAAGTATTGCGGTATTATGGTATATGGAGGATTGAATGATGATGGATAAGTTCTTTTGGTGGATGTGCAAATTGTAATGAGTAAATAGATCGTGAATCTGATTAGTTAGGTATAAGAGACGACCAGCCTCAAATCCTTTCCCCGTTTTAGGCCTTGGGCCATTAATTGTATTTTATTTACAATAAATCTCGACACCTGCTGTGATTTGAGCTGTAAGGGATGGGCTTCGCCAGGTCTACTTGACCAAGACATGCTGCACAGGGATGGATACGTTTTCCTGCTTTCACTATCAGTGTTACTAGTACCAAATAACCCATTACTACCAACTGCATTGTCGAGTCATTAACGACTAAATATTGCAGCATGGGCTCCATAGCTGCGTATAAACCAGTAGAATGATGCCAGGTATCGTTGAGCGGAGAAATTCCTAAACTAGTGACAATAGCCAGAGTAGATGGCTCCCATAATAAAATCAACAGCCATATTTCCATGAGGAAGAGGGGGCTCGAAGTCCCCTAAGAGTATTGCGGTATTATGGTATATGGAGGATTGAATGATGATGGATGAGTTTTTCTGGTGGATATGCAAATTGTAATGAGTAAATAGATCGTGAATCTGATTAGCTAGCTATAAGATAGTAAGTGACGACCAGCCACAATCTTTTCCCCCTTTTAAGTCTTGTAAAAATTGTAATTTATTTACATTAAATCCCGACATCAAAAACATTTCTCTTTTATTGTTTGCCTTGATAAAATCGGAAGACGAAACGCGTTGGCAAGAACTAAGTTTTTTTCTAATTGTCATTCTTATAACGATATTTATGTCATGGGGATGTGTTTTTGTTGGTCCTCTAAGAGTATTGCGGTATATGGAGGACTGAATGATGATGGATAAGTTCTTTTGGTGGATGTGCAAAATGTAATGAGTAAATAGATCGTGAATCTGATTTGCGAGGTTAAGATAATGATGACCAGCCTCAGCCTATTCTCCCGCCATTTTCGGCCTTGTGCCACAATTGTATTTTATATACAATAAATCTAAACAACAGTCCCATAGAGAATCTTCGTGATTACATGAAGAATAAGATTAGCCAATCCCAAGACTCTTCTGGGCGCTATCAAGCGCGTTTAATCCTCTGAGATTTTAGCAGACATCGTCAGAGTCTCATTCCAGGTGAACCTCGTTGTATTGAACCTGTTATCAGGGTGAAAGAAAATGATACAAAATACTAGTTTATATTGCAATTAATAGAAAATAAACTCCTTTTAATAAATTTGAAAATTAAAATGATTTTAATAAATTTGAAGTGAATACCAGCTTTTATATCTATGCAATTGGGGATTTTTGTTTGTTTTTCTCGTCTTGGGTATGACGAAAAACTACATCCGGTTTTGAGGTTCAGTCTAATCCTGGTTCATAGCACATGTTTGGCTTTCAACTATGGGTAAATAGTGACCCCCCGCCAAAAAAAAAACTGGGGTCAATACATATAAAGATATACTAGAAAAGAAATTACCAGTGATATATTTTCATAGTAAAAAAAAAAGAATTACCACCAATACATTATTGAAAAAAATTACCAAAGCTAACAAGAAAATAAAATTTTAGCATTAAATGACCCATAAAGTGTTTGTATGCCATTAAACAAACAAACTATAACATCCCACTCAAAAAAAAAAAAAAAAATACCAGCAATCTATTTTTGTATTTAATTATAAAAACAGAGTAACGTATTACTTCAAAGATCTCAAGAAAAGTAAATTTCAGCATTAAATGACCCATAAGGATGTTGATATGCCTTAGGCAAACAAACATTAACTTTGTTTTTCATTTTGTTGAGTAGTGTTTTGCCGAATCAGTAGTATCTATCTATCTATCTATCTATCTATCTATCTATCTATCTATCTATCTCAGTCACTTCATATCTATCTATCTATCTATCTATCTATCTATCTATCTATCTATCTATCTATCTCAGTCACTTCATATCTATCTATCTATCTATCTATCTATCTATCTATCTATCTATCTATCTCAGTCACTTCATATCTATCTATCTATCTATCTATCTATCTATCTATCTATCTATCTATCTATCTATCTCTGATCATATCCATATCTATCTATCTATCTATCTATCTATCTATCTATCTATCTATCTATCTATCTATCTCAGTCTGTTCATATCTATCTATCTGGTTTTACTCATAGCTACGAAGGGTTACCACCAAATCACAATGAAACATCGGTTATCGTTTGATTATCAAAGTTAAGCAACTTTGAGCCTGTTCAATACCTAGATGGGTGACCGCTTGGGAATACCAGGTGCTGTAATCTTAGATATTCAGATGGTGTAATGGATAGCGGCCGCGATCGAATTCTAGTCGAGTTTCTTATCTTCACTTACACGCAAATACTCTTGGAAAAGGTATGAATCCACTGCTTCTCCCCTAGCAATGGGTTAATTAGTAGGATTTGGATCAGTAAATCATTAGCATCTTCAAAATATTCTTACGATCTAAAAACATTTTCTGGCTTTAAATAACCTACAAAAGGTTGATAATCCGTAAAAAAGATAACCGTCAATCATAGCTATCAATGAATCTACTAGTTTAATAAAATATCTGTTTTATAGAAAGGATTGAAAACCCTTTGGTACAGCCGTTCTGGTTAAGAAGATAAACTACATCCGCGTCCTGGGTAAGACGATAAACTACATCCACGTCCTGGGTAAGACGATAAACTACATCCAACAGCAAGGCCTCTGATAAGGAGGTTTTGAGGAGTGTGGAACCACCTCTTAATTGCTGGTGTTTCCAGGTCCACACTGACCTGGAATGCTAGCATTTGTTAAGGTCCCAGTTATGGGCAAATAGTTGACCCCTAATCTGGGGTCAAAACACTATGGAAGTTTAAAAATAAGTTTTAATAAGCAGCAATGAATGTTTGAAGAAAAATTATTACCAGCAATATATTTTTGAAAAAAAAAAAAAAAATTACCAGTAATAAAAATATTGTCGGCATTAAATAACACCTTGAGGTTGATATGCCGTAAAACAAATTTAACCAAACCAATATATACTGAGATAGATAGATAAAAAAATATTAACAGCAATAATAGTTTTGTCGGCATTAAATAACTCATTGAGGTTGATATGCCTTAAAACAAAACAAACCAAACCAAACCAACATATACTGAGATAGATAGATAGATAGATAGATAAAAATATTAGCAGCAATAAAAATTTTGTCTGCATTAAATAACCCATTGAGGTTGATATGCAGTAAAACAAACCAAACTAAACGAAAACCTATGAGAATCGAACCGGTTGTAAACATGTTGAGTACCGAATGCTTCCACACATCATTTCCCTAGATGAGCCACGTACTCTGCCCGTCTCGATGGAAGTGCCTGCAACAATGGAAGCTGTCGTCTTGAAATGGTCACTCAAGAAGCTGAGATTCGTCAAAGGACAAATGCGAGACACAACACAGTGATGTTCTTGGGTGTAAAGGATTTCAATTAACGTCACGCAAGAAGCGATGTTGCTAAGTAACAACTGAAAACTGTGACGTCATCTGTGACACCTTACGCCACCAAACCAAAACACGAGTCATTTTTCTTCGTATCTATACGTCATATATTAGCAATGTATGGCACAAGGATAAGCGAGAAAGAGTGGGTATTTGTATGGCAATTTTTAATGTGGACAGTCGTGAAAATTAATTTCTGAATTATGTCTCTCATAGCGATTTATTTCGGTCTGCTCATTATTTATCTATCTATATCAGTCTGTTCATATCTATCTATCTATCTATCTATCTATCTATCTATCTATCTATCTATCTATCTATCTATCTATTATATTCACTATCTATCTATCTATCTATCTATCTATCTATCTATCTATCTATCTATCTATCTATCTATCTATCTTATTCTGTCCATTATCTATCTATCTATCTATCTATCTATCTATCTATCTTATGCTCATTATCGATCGTATTCTGTTCGTTATCTATCTATCTATCTATCTATCTATCTATCTATCTATCTATCTGTTATGAACTTGAAACCTGAGCTAAATTCTGTATTGTAAATTCTGGGTCGGAACAGGTGTTCGTCTCATTTGTAACTGAATTTCAAAGACAATATTTCGATATTTGTACATAGATTTATCCAAAAAAAAAAAAAACATAGGTGATATTTTGTTCCATTATTTTTTTTCATCCTCCAAGAACTTGCTATCATATTTAATATGTGTATAAAACGCATACTGTATGAGGTATATTTTGATGCTGTACTGCTTACTTTAATCATTGTACATGAAATCACCGTGGACTGTTTCAGTCTTTCAGGATGTAACCAACAGAATCTTGTCTACCACATTGATGGTGTTTGGTTCTTGATAATGACTGACAGAGTCGTAAGTACTTGAAAAAAGAACACAACAAACATGATCTGATCTTCGGAAAGTTTATCCACAATTTTATTCAGAAATTAGAAAATATAATAAATAATTAAACAAACATAGCTTGTTGGTTAAATTTAATAAAACTTGGATGAGCACTGGAAGAATATTTTCCGCTTAAATAAATTATATATATATATATATATATATATATATATAGATAGATAGATAGATAGATAGATAGAGAGAGAGAGAGAGAGAGAGAGAGAGAGAGAGAGAGAGAGAGGCAGGCAGGCACGGTGGAGTAATAGATAGCGGCTTGGATTGAGGAATCGCAAAGCCGAGTTCGAATTCCAGTCGAATCCATTACATTCACTTACGTGCTAATATCCTTGGGAAAGGTATGAATCCTCTTCATCTCCCTCCAGCTATAGGTAAAATAGCAGGACAGACTGGGTTCTATAGCCTTTGATAGCAACTGGTCTAGGAGAAGGACAACTCTGAATTCAAAACCTGCGGAGGGTCGTTCCGGGAACCTTGTGGCACTCGATGCACCAGATCTCTGTATTCGTCGCTTCAAAAAGTGTGGATCGTCCTGCACGAGGCCTTCACCACTATAATCAAATCTCATGTGCCGGTCTCGGGCTGTCGGTTTCCAGGAAACTGATCTACTTGACCCTCATACGTCGAATCTCGACGGGAGAGTCGATTATATATATATATATATATATATATATATATATATATATATATATATATATATTGTGTATTTAGGCAGCAATCCTTTATTTATGCATGTTTTATTAAAAACGACAGACAAGATAATACTTTTTATTTAACTTTTCTTGTGTTCGCAAAAGAGCCTTAGAAGTGCGTAGAAACTGTCCAAATGTTCTATAGTTCCCAGCGCCTACCCAGCCGCTGTACGTTAGACCTACTTGACCAGAGCTCCATTAGAACCCATTTAAACACACACACACAAACCTACCAGCCTCCATTCGAAACATACTAGTAGAAAACATAAACGTAATAACCTCATCCAGCTGTAAAAAAAAAAAAACGATTAAAAATAATGGAAGCCCTAATAATAAAAAAGAAAAATCCAACTCTTAATAATATTAAACACGAACACGGTCACGATGTGCTAACCGTGTTCGGAAAATAAAATCTCTATAACACACTAAAAGCATACACGTAACGCACACACGCAATTAAACTGAAGAAATAAAATCATCCTTGATAATGGCTAAAAGTAAAGCCGAAAGCGAACGGAACTATAAAACATTTGGACAGTTCCTACACACTCGGTGTGTGTGTATATATATATATATATATATATATATATATATATATATATACCGCTCGTCTAATAATGCAAAAGACCTTAGTACGCCCAATATACCAGCATATATAAATAGTCGAGCCAAAACACTACATATGTGGCCTGAAAATTACGTTCAAGAATGAAACATACTGTCATTGCTTGGTGTAGACATCATTCTCCACTGATATATATATATATATATATATATATATATATATATATATATATATATATATTTTAATTTTATCATATAGACAAAAGAGGTTACTCACTACAAAAATGCAACTTTGTTTCGGTGCATTTCAACTGTACCTCGACAGTTTTAGAAGCGAAAATGGTTATGAACAATTCTGCTTGTAGGCAAGCCGTATGTGGAACGTCACTTCAAGTTGCATCTTTGTAGTGAGTAAACTGTTTTTGTCTATATGATAAAATTATAATAAATAATTATCGCTCTACTATCAGTGTGGAACCCTCTTTTGAATTAATGCTGTGAACGTTAGAATTTATATATTATTCTCGTTCTCATTGCATCAGGTATATATATATATATATATATATATATATATATATATATATATATGTGTGTGTGTGTGTGTGTGTGTGTGTGTGTGTGTGTGTAAAAGTAGGTTTTTATTACCATCATGCTTTCCCACCCGAAGAAACGTTAATTTTTAACATTGAAACAAGATGTAGTTTTGTAGTGGGTATGTACATGTTCTAATGTAACAGTGCTTAATATATATATATATATATATATATATATATATATATATATATATATATAAAAGAAAAAAAGGTTTTTATTACCATCATGCTTTCCCACCTGAAGAAACATTAATTTTTTAACATTGAAACAAGATGTAGTTTTGTAGTGGGTATGTACATGTTCTAATGTAACAGTGCTTAATATATATATATATATATATATATATATATATATATATAATATATAAAAGAAGGTTTTTATTACCATCATGCTTTCCCACCTGAAGAAACGTTAATTTTAACATTGAAACAAGATGTAGTTTTGTAGTGGGTATGTACATGTTCTAATGTAACAGTGCATAATATATATATATATATATATATATATATATATATATATATATATATATATAATAAAAGTATTACGTATACGTATGTTGCGAACGTAAAACCTGAACTCCATATTGTACATACTGGCTTGGCGTATTTTTAAGTGTATTTCGAAAACAATTTTTAAATATTTAGATATATGATTTATTAAGGCACTTGAGTGTTATTTCGTATCAGTTTACATGGAAACAAAAAAAATGCAGTTATTAATAAAGAGGAGTTGAAAATTAAAGCAAACGAGTTTTCCCAGATGTAATTCCTTCATAGTAAATCTATGAAGATTTCAACCCACCTCTTTATCTAATGCCCTTGAGTAGGTGGATTGCAGAACAGTAGCGATAGCGAAAAGAAAATCCATATTAATAGGTACAAATTATAGGAAGTTGTAGAGAGCTATGATTGTGTAAAGAAGAAAAAAAGAAAGAAGAAAAGTATTGATATACTTTCTCAAAGTTTCTCAAAATTTTTTCTGTTTTTTTTTCTCATCGTTCACTCTAAACTGTTTTAAGAACGTCAAAAATTTCGATCTTTTAAATTAAATTAAATTTGGCAAGTGGTTACTTTCTAACATCTGTGGCACCAATTATCAACAACTAAAACTGACAAAAGTAGTCTTTTATTTATTTTCGGTCAATTGCTGATATGTTATATATATATATATATATATATATATATATATATATATATATATATATATCGGTAGTTGTTATAGATAAGTAGTTTGGTTACTTACTAGAAAAATAAATCTAATTTAACGAAAGTTTAGAATATGCAGGTGGCGTAAATGATAACCACTCAAGGTGAGACATATAGCCACAAATACTCTTGTATGAAAGGTATGAATCCATCTCCTCTCCTCGCTATGGGTTAAATATTAGGCCGTGTATCTGGAAAATCATTATTATTCTAAAGTAAAAATTAATATAATATTCAAACCAAAAAACAAAGAATAATTCTTACACTCAAAATATGTTTCGTTCTGAAATCAACCCAAAAATGAGTTGATAAACCGTAAAAAACAAATTAATCTCTATAGAAGTTTATACTGACCTCAACGCTTTTCACTGCACAGGCAATTTAGCAGGTAACACATAACTGAACAAATTTTTAATCGATTCACCCCAAACAAGGCGATAAAGCCACTAAAACGCAATGGATTATGGAGGGTAAAGAAACTGAGAAAACATTGCTGAGTAGAAAGGACAATAAAAGCAAAGAGTTCAGGAAAACAGAAGAATGGCGATTGATGTTGCATTTAAATTTTTGAAAATTGTCGATGAACAGGAAGTACTACACCGGAAGAGAGGCAACGAAAGTTGACTCATTTTTCCCGCTACCTCAGCCACCCTCCGACTAGTAAAAATTAATTCTAAGTTCGTTGTTTACGCAGAAAAGTTTCCCATTCATAGCACGGATTCTTAGCTCTGTGTGTGATTGACCAATCGTCTATCATTGTTGCCATTTGACCAGTCGCAGTTCAAATCAACGTCAGTCCTACGTGTTTCATTGTTCAAAACCCTGACACACGATTCAGATGGCTGTCGACATGTAAATTAAAATCTTCAATTTTTCCAATGGGGTTTATTCATTCACCATTCTTTTTTTTTGTCAGGGATCTGTCTGTATATCGTTCCTTCTATTAAAAAAAGAAAACTTCCTGTGATTACCAGTAACAAATAGTGTCACACTATTAGAATAGAACTTACGGTAGCATCTAGCTGTTTCAACAGTAAAACGATGAGACCTAATTGCCAATCCAGTAGCACGCTTGAATTCACGTCATCGAAATTAGAATAACTACTATGAAATATTTATAGAAAAGGCATTCGGAAGCCACATTAGTAGTATATTTCTTTATATATGCCTTTCTTTATAATATGCCTAAGGCATATTATAAAGAAATATACTACTCCTACTGATCCGAATAAAAAAAATCAAACTTATTATCTATTATAAAAAATTTAAGACGGCCAACCTTATCCTCAAAAATAACAACACACCAACTAAGTCAAAATTACAAAGAACGAACATTATCTATGAGTTCAAATGCCCTTTAAGGAACTGCGTTCCTCACCAAACCGGACTCATAAATAATTACATCGGCTACACAACCACATGTTTATCCAGACGTCTTACATTACACCTATCTGATCACAGTTCCATCAGAACACATTTAAACACTCACTCAGATTTACCCGACACTATTAGGGACATACTAGTAGAAAACACTAATATATTAACTGCATCCACTTGCAAAAAAAAAAAGACTAAAAATAATGGAAGCTCTAATAATAAAAAAGAAAAAGCCAACTCTTAACAATATTAACTATGAATAAAGCCACAATGTGCTAACCGTATTCGGAAACTAAAAACATCACTACCACACACTGAACATACACAGAACATACACACTCTACTAAGCTGATAATCGAATCATCATTGATAATGGCTAAAGGTATAGCCGAAAGCGCTCGAAATAAAAACATTCGGACAGTTCTTACACACCCTTTGTCCAGAAAAGAAAGTTTGTCAGAACACAAGAAAATTAAATAAAAAGCTCAATCATAGTACCTTGTCTGTTGTTTTTAATGAAACATGCATATATATATATATATATATATATATATATATATATATATATATGTTTCATTAAAAAACGACAGACAAAAGATACTACAGTTAAGCTTTTATTATTTTTTAACTGCTCGCCCAAAACAGAGTGTGTAGAAACTGTCCAAATATTCTATAATTCCAACAGCTTTCGGCTATACTTTTAGCCATTATAAATAAATATAACCTCGATTAAAACCGTAATCTGTGTTCGTTATTTCTCTCTCCTTTAGTAATACAAGTCTTACTAATTACCCATAGCTGGAGGGAGAACAGATGGATTCATATTTCTCCCAAGAGTATTTGCGTATAAGTGAATATAACGAACCCAACCAGAATTGGAACTCGGCTCTCCGATTAATAATTCCGAGTCATTATCCACTACACCACCGGCACATCCATGCTTAAAGCACCTGGTATTCCGAAGCGATCATCCATCTAGGTACTGTCCAAGCACGACGTTGCTTAACTTCGGTGATCGTACGAGAACCGGTGTTTTGAACATGATGTAGCTGGAAGTTTACAAAATTTGAGGTTTCCACTGGAAACCCCCCCACCAAAAAAAAAACAAAACAAAAAAAAAAAAAAAACGAAAAAAGTAGTTGGAAACAAAGACCAAAATGCTTAATTGCAATATAAATCCACCTATATGCCATTAAATGCAAGGTAATCTACTCAAAGACAAAGAAGACTGTTGGAGTGATTTTTTACGGTTTATCAACCCTTTGTAGGTTATTTAAAGCCGAAAAACATTTTGGATTGCAGGAAGTTGTTTACATTACCCTGTGTTCTCAAGCGATCCCTCATCTAATTACTGTCTGGGCTCGATGCTTAACTTCGATGATCGTACTGAAACCAGTGTTTCAATATGATGTGTCGATAATCCTACTAATCAGAGAACTGTTTTACGGTTCATCAACCCAATGTGGGTTATATATCTCGGGTTGCAGGAGGTTGTTTACAGTACCCGATGTTCTGAAGCTGTCCCACTATTAAGTACTGACCGAGGTCGATGCTGTTTAACTTCGGTGATCGAACAAGAACTGATGTTTTCAGCATTATTTGACCCCAGGCGGATGGGTCTTCAAATGCGTTTCTGCAGAAGAATATCGAGTATACTATCGACGGAACATGTGAGCAATAGGGAAGTTTTAATGAAAATGAGAAGGAAAAGGAAACTTTTATTCGCGTCAGAAAGCGACAGTCGAAATTTATGCTGCGCATAATGAAGGATGAAGGTTTAGAGAATCTGACACTCACAGGGAATATTTCAGGCAAGAGCGACAGAGGAAAATAGCAACTAACTTCAAAGACTGGCAGAAAATGAAGAGAGGGACAGTAAATAGACAATCATTATTTAAAGCTACAAAGGATAGGAAATGGTGGAGAGCCATAATCGATTATGTATCGAATAAATACGGCACATAAAAGAAGACACAGAAGTGCATATTTAAAATAATGCAGTAATAGAAAACTACTAATTTCTGCAAAGCTTTATGTATGGTGAACTAACAAGGGTTTGCCATAGACTGGACATAAGTGATTTTTGAAAAGGACCCCAACTTCCTGTGGGATTAACTCCTGCAATTGGACTATATAGTCTACCTAGAAAGAGAAATAACAACAGATTCTATCAAGCAATCTTCCACAAAGAAGAGAATGTGCAGCGGCGTAAGAGGCGACTCCAGTCGGTGCCAGACTTTCATCTGCAGCCACTGTCAGGAAAAATTGACATTCTGGCGATAGCTTAGCTCGTTACCAGAATACCATTGACAGAAATGAAAAACCTTCTGTAAACGACATTTTTGAGAATCCAGCCATAAAAATAATGGTAAGTATATATACAAAAAATTATTTAAAATATATTTTTATTTGAAAATGACGGAGCGCACTCTTTTTCTATAAAAGGAAAAGTTTTCGAAGAACACTTCTTCCCAAAATATTTGTTGGAAAATAAAACCCATTGCTGAAGCAATAAACCGACGTAAATAAAAGAGAAAAAATTGTATTCACGACGCAGCCATGAGACGCAGAGAACGAAGAACGTTTTGCCTGCACAAAGTTGATCTATGAAGATTGATACGAACAGATTCTAAAAAGTATAAATGTTTATCCGACTTAGCTTTGTGCAGTGTCCTAAAAGCTTCGTCAGAATATTTCAAAGCGCAACCTGGGTTGTTCACCAAATGTAGTCCAATCGCTGACTCACAAAAGAATACTGTCGCTAACTCCACCCTGTGTCATATGAGGAGGTATGTTTTGTTCAAACCGGGTTTCCAACCGCAAGTTGGTTCGTCCCGCATAGTCAGCCTCACACTAACGTTTAAATTGATAAATAACAGAACTGCTTTATATTTTTATTTTTTCTCCAACGAACCCTGGAAAAGTGTTTGACGAAAAAGCTTTCCTTCATCATTTCTATAAAAATATATAAATTCTGTGATATAGCATTTTTGAAGAAAAGTATATATTTATCTATCTATAGAATGAGATTAAGAGAGAGAGAGAGAGAGAGAGAGAGAGAGAGAGAGAGTTAGAGAGAGGGAGAGTAGGTAGGGAGATATAGATAGGTACACAGATAGGACAGCTAGTTAGCTCTCTCTCTCTCTATATATATATATATATATAGATAGATAGAGAGAGAGAGAGAGAGAGAGGAGGTGAGTGGGGGGGGGAGAGAAATTATTGGTTTATCTTTTAAGTACTCCAGTATGTCTTGTGATTTTCCCACCCAATTATTTTTATCAGTTTGTCACACGGCTCAAATTAGTGATGATTTGTTGAATATATATATATATATATATATATATATATATATATATATATATGATTACGTCGCAAGAATTCATTCAAACACGTTTTATTAAATTTGACTGACAAGGATTGTCTACTTAAAACGACGCCTGGCAAATGTAATAAAAAATTTGAATAAAGAAACCTTGTCTGTCAAAATCAATAAAATCTGTTTGATTAATAATAATGATGATGATGATGTCTGTCTGCTACGGTGAATAGACAATTCTTGTTGTAGACACCTTCTCAGGCACATTTGTGGTCTTTCAACGAAGCGCACCTGTAGTTGATACTGCAACTATGCCCAGCGAACCTTAGTTACAGTTTCTGGGTGAGAACGCAATATCTGGCGTGATTAACAGTCTGAACAAGACCAGCACGCTTAAAATCTCGGTCACGATGACTTGTGACTGCGAGCTATCACAGCCATCGACGGCTCCCAAATGTTTCCATCTGCAGAATTTCACTTACATTGTTTGGGTGTACCCGTAGCGTGGTTTTCAGGCACTTTCCAAAAGGTGCCACACAATGGGATCACCTCCCCGGACTGATAAAACCAAGTCAGCTTCCTAAATAATTGACCATGGTGAGATTCAAACTCAATCTGAAATCGAACGTTCTAATAAATCGATCACGTGTCCATATAATAATAATAATAATAATAATATCATCTTGTATCAGGTTGCGCGGTATTGACACCTACTGAATATAAAACCAAGCAGGACAGAGTGAGCCAATATCTGCACTGGAAAATCTGCAACTTCTACAGAAAGGAAACTGAAAGAAATTGGTATGAACACTACCCAGACCCGATTACGGAGATAGGACCTGTTACAATTTCATGGGACTACACACAGACAGAACAATGAAAGCTAATCGCCCTGACATCGTTATTAGAGATCACAAACAGAAAAATGCCTCCTTATTGGTATGACAGTCCCTGCAGACTGCAATGTATCTTTGAAGATCTTTAAAAAGCTATCAAAATACAGAGACCTTGAAATCGAAATCTCAAAAATGTGGCATATGGGAACATCAACAATCTCTGTTATAGTTGGAGCCCTCGGATTGATTGGAAAAGATTCCAGTAGACTCATTGAAGGGATTCCTGGAAGTCCATGCCTCAAAGAAATATAAAAAATTCTTCTCACGAGTACAGCCCATACCTTACAAAGTTTCTTTATCTATGTAAAATTTGTGCTTTTTTAATTGCTCAGTCGAAAAAGTCATAATATCATTTCTAACCTTAGAAATGTGTACACACATGAAATCAAAGGAAATATAACCAAATATCCCATTACTTCAGAAGTCTGAGTTGCCTGGCATTTCTAATATCCTACAAAAGATGCTCTTTGTCAGAGGCCATATCAATTACCAATCATAATGCAAAATATCCGATTAAAAACGAAAAACCGTGCGACAGAAGATAAAGAATTTATAAGGAGTCTACGGGTAATTTTTGACCGAGCCTACGGGCTCGGATACCCCGCATTAAATTCGGCCTTGTGTCACATCTGACCGTGTGGACCGGTTGGTAGATATCTTGCAGTTGGAGATTCATTGTGGAATTCACTTGACTCGCTTCTAGCAGTTGACTACTTCTACGCGCTGCTGGCGAATCTTGTATGTGTTGTTCTTGTCCTAAGTATTATCGTTCATTAGCAACCTTCGTGTGATTATTCTATTCAGTAACCTTCCCTAGGTTACAACATTAACATATATACGTATATTTATTAAAAGACGTTATAGTAAAAAGTTATATTTGACTTCAGTTTCATTTAAATTTGTACTTTTTTAAGGTTTTCATATATATATATATATATATATATATATATATATATATATATATATATATATTTTCACTCTCGTGTGATCATGTGTGATGTCATGGGCCGCGGTGCGAATTTCACTTCCAGTGGCTCGTATGCACGAATTTGTCGTTGTTTGAAATCTTCCATGCAAACAAAACAGACTATCATAGGTCGGTGTATTGTTTAATTTATTGTAATGTACTTGCCATCTTTGATAATGGCTTACGTAAGCCGAATGCTTAGATAGGATGAAAAAACATGTATCAATATGGCGTTTTTTTCTTTCGTCTTTCAATGATAATGTTATTAAGCTTCCCTTAGTCAATTTAATAATCTATATGCAAATATTTCATTTAGTTCAAGTAATTAGTTACTTTGCGCATACGATTCTCAAATTGCAGTCTTATTTGTTCAAGCTTTTCATGTGAGGCACTCAGATACCTTTGTCTATTAAGTGATCGTTTTGCTTCATTCTGTTGCCAATCTTTTTCTTTCGAGAAATATTTCCATTTCACAGTTATATTAAACATAAAATTTTCAAGATGAAACGATATTGAGCAAAATTGATTTATATAAAACCAGGATTTTCAATTAATGAATCGTAGATACCATCGTACGTCTCGAAAATATAAATAGAACAGTTCATTGGCCTCCATTTTAGTTGCGAATTTCTTTTAATGTCTGCTTTATTGAATCTCAATACGTTGTTTCAAAACTTTTATTTCATTGCATCTCACGATTAAAACTTTCTAACAATTGCCGTCATTTTCGACGGCGCGAATACAATAGTATATATATATATATATATATATATATATATATATATATATATATATATAATGCTGGTTAAATACGTCTATACTCACACACATACTTAGAAAATGCTATACAACATTCTACCTATATGTG